CATTACTGGGGATATACCCAAAGGAAGATAAATTGTTCTACTATAAAGACATAAACATGCATAAACGTGTAATCACAGCTTTATTCACAATAGCAAAGACATGGAATCAACGTAAATGTACACTGATGATAGTGGACTGGATAAAGAAAATGTGGTACATATACATGATGGAATACTATGCAGCCATAAAAGAGATTAAAATCATATACTTTGCAGCAACACCGATGAAGCTGGAATCAGTGGATTCCATCCATAATGGATGAAGCCATTATTCTAAGCAAACTAACACAGGAGCAGAAAATCAAATGCTGCATGCTCTCAGGCATAAATGAGAGCTAAACACTGAGTCCACATGGATGCAAAGAAGGGAACAATAAACACTGGGGGGCCTCCTTGAGGGTGGAGGGTAGGAGGAGGGTAAGGATCAAAAAACTGCCTATTGGGTACTACGTTTATTACCTGGGTGACAAAATTATCTGCACATGAAACCTCTGACATGAAATTAGTTCATGTAACAAACCTGCATATGTACCCCCTGAACCTAAAAGTTGAAAGGAAAAAAAAAATGTAGTAACTGCTAGAGTCAGCCGATTGTTTATTCCCAGCCCAGTGCTGCAATGACATAATGATAGAAAAGATACAGGCACAATTATTTCCATCCCTCTTTCCCCTAACCATTGCCGAGCCACCTGTACACTGCAAATCGAGGACCCAGCAGCTCCAGATACTGTGGGCAACAGATGAGAGGGAAGAAGGAAGCTATGCTTTGATATAAGGGAAACTGGGTGCTTTGCTCAAACAACAGCTTCTCGATAAGGTACCCAATGAAAAAACCCAGCAGCTGAAAATAAACATTGAGATTCCAAATCTCTGTCAGGGGTGTGTGTGTGTGTGTGTGTGTGTGTGTGTGTGTGTGTGTGTGTGTGTCTCTCTCTCTCTCTCTCTCTGTTTGTTTTGGAAACTTGAAGAGAAATCGCAAGCAATGTGGATCCTAAAGCAGTTTACACTGAACCAGATGGTGCCTCTGATTAGCATCAGACTAAAAAGATACATTACTTGGAGATGAGGTTCTCGTAGGGACAAATCTGTTTCAAAGGCACAGAGGGTTTGCTTTTCTCCTAGACTCCCCTCGGAGCTTTCTCTGGGTGTATCTGTGCATCCTTTCTCCTGTCATCACCTCCAGGCAAGTCTGAGCTTGAGCTGGAGAAGACAGCAAATTAGTGTTTGTAGGTTTCTCGGTTCTCCTCTCACTGAAGCCGGAAGTCCTTCACACGGGACAAGCCATTCCATGTGGGAATCTGGCTGGGGTGACTACTCCTGCAATTCCCAGGCTAACCAGCCATATGTGCCACTGATGCACCAGCAACACACAGAGACCCATTCTGTGGCTATTCCCATTTTACAGATGAGGAAATAAAGACTTGCAAGGATTAAGTAATTTACTCAATAGCACAGGTCAAATCAAAGTTGAGGCTAATTGCCTCCATAAAGAGGTGTGTGTGTCTGTGTGTGTGTGTGTGTGTGCGTGCGCGTGTGTATGTGTGTGTGTTTTAAAAGAGGCCTGAAGGGTAAATCATCAGAACGGATGGCTACCAAGTGTCCAAAACTATGTAATTATGTTGGTGCCTGCAGTAAGATAAACAATGAAGTGAGAAATCACAAACATTTCACCTTGACCTCTACTTCTAGGCCTACATAACATGGGCCCTTTAGAAAAACACTCTAGGGAAATAAAAATAGCAAAAAAAAAAAAAAAAAAAAAAAAAAAAAAAAAAAAAAAAAAAAAAACATTCAAAGTCAGGATGGAAAGCATGTACCAACCAAGGCCCTTTTATTCACTAGGTCCCGTGTTTCTCAGACCCTGAGGAAAATCATGTAGCTTAGGGTTACATGCAACTGTCAAAGATTAAGGAACTCCCTTATTGCAAGGAAATTAAAGGTCAGCACAGAAATTGAGATTAGCAGGAAAAATAACCACAACACCAATAATAACATTTACTGCTTAGTCTGAGACATTATGCTGAGCCCAGCGCTGTGTCAAGTACTTTAAATGCATCATCCATCTCATTAGCCTACATGATCACCCTCTAAGACAGACCTTATTGTTCTTATTCCCATTTTACAGATGAGCCTACTGAGGATCAGAGAGGTTTAGAAAATTACCCATAGTCACATAGTCATGTAAAGAGCTGAACCAGTAATTAAACTCAGGTGTAGCGTACCCCGAGAACTACTGCCCTTAACCAGTAAACCCTTCTCCACCTTCTCCATAGGATCCTCCTGAAGACAGGCCAATAGGGTAGTCTGCCAAAATCTCAGAAAGTGCTTAAAAGCCTTCTGGCCCCTCAGCTTGATGTCAATACAAATGTTCAAGGCTGTGAGTACAAGCAAATGCCACTGAAAATACTCCAGGCAATTTGCACATCTGGCAGTTAAATGAGTGCAGGCTCAAAGCAAATCACGTCCCCAAGACACAGGACACTTCACAGGGAGAATAACAGGAGGAATTTCATTACTGCTCAAATTTGGCCAGAGGAAATCACACTCACCTTATTTAAGGGTATAAAGAGAGATGTTCATCAAAGGGCAATGGCCACCTAGTAAGTATAATGAATTCAGATTTTATTCACTGGGAACTAGAGGATTTAAGTAAGGGGATGAGTTGAAGTTTCCCTTTGGGACTACTTTGGTGAGAGGGCTCACTTAGCAAATAGATCGTGGGAGAAGAATTACCTTTCAGCTATGAGTAAGAGCATACGGCTTTTACATGTGAGCTGAGCATGGCTACACTAATTATACTTTGCCTCCTCTTTGAAATGGGCCCCCAGAGGACATTTTGCCTACCTCTAGTCTCTGTATGTATTTAAAGGTAAGAATTTTGCATTTCTTTTGTAACTGTGTACAATGCCAGGGCAGGCCTTCTGTCAGTTAATATTAATCAGTGTTTTTACTGAATCTGAAACCCAGACACACAGCAGGACCAAGAAGCAGCAGCTGTCCAGCCTGCCCTGCGATTATGCCAACCCTCAGAGGCCTCCTTCCAGTCCTGGAGATGTGGCTGCAGTAAAGGAATTACTCCGACTTCCATGAGGCTGGAATTGACACCACATGCCCTGCCCAGGCCCGTGCTAGCACTCCATCTGGTCTCGATGCCAAGCCAGGCCCCTGGCAATGACAGCAGCTCTGAACAATGAAGGAGAGCCAAGTAGCCCGCTCCCTGCTGCCTGTGCTGCATCATATGCATAGCTAGAGTCGTCCTTGTCAAGTCCCTAGGATGGGACTCAATTTGTCTTTGCAGTGATGCCACCTGAAATCCTGAGAGGGCCTTCCAGGGCAGGAAGGGACAGACATATTTCAATGCTTTTGGTATGAGGACTATTTATTTGGAGGTAGAAGTCAGAACTTTAAAACCATGGAAGTCTCACTTTAAAAAAGGCACAATAACACAAGGAGGGCAATTCCCAGAATTAGTCTCCATAACCTCACACAAACCACCTTGCTCAAACAAACTGCATATTTATTGGATTAATCTGTTGTCACACTTCTGTCTAAAGGGTCAGGAAACCACACACATGAATATTAAAATCACAAGAACACTTTTCATCCCCACATCCTCCTCCTACCCTTAACTCCAGGGATAGGATACAGACAGCAATTCTGGATGCACCATGTTAACCAGGCATTGGAAAAAACATCTTTACAGTGAAGTGGTTCCTGAATATTTCTATGATTACCAGGCAATTTGCATAAATATTCAGGCTTCGTTCCCTGAATAAATTCCAGTTGGGTGATGGCTGATCCTCTGAATTCTAAGACCTTTTGTTTCTTGCACAGTTTGCTTCTCATTTTATTATTGACATCAGTGTGGATACAGAAGTTGAAAATTGGGAAGGTTTGGTCTTAGGGTACAGAAAAAAAGTACTGACCCTGAAAAGCCACTTCTTCACCCTACAGATAGGAGTGAAGAAATGCAGAGTTTCTAAACAGGCCATTCTTTTACATAGAGCAAAAGGCATGATCCATTTTGCAGATCCAAACATGCAGAGCATTACTAGAGATGAGGTAGAGGATGAATATGAGCTTCCGAATCCTGCCTGATCAAATCTAGAGGAGCTATGGAAATCTAGTTAACTGACCTTGAAAATAGGGAACTTTAAGTTTCTTGCCTGTGGGGTCCAGTGGTGACCAGTTTAGGGTAAGCAGAAGCTCTGACCATAACTTCTGTGCAAAACCACTGTCATTCCATGATCTCCCAAAAATATATATCATTAAGTGAAGAAAGGCTAAGTGCAGAGCAGTTACATACTATGCTACCATTTGCATGATAATGAAAGAGTACATAGCATATATATAATTGATTGCACATCCACAGAGTGTTCCTAGAAGCAAACACAAGGAACTGGATATGGCTTTTGCCACTGGAGAGGGGACTGGGAGTAGCCATGCACAGGGTCTGGAGGGAGCCTTTCCACATGGTACCCTTTCATACCTTTGCATTTTGATCCATGTAAATGCATTACCTATTCTAAAATAATTTACATTTTTTAAAAAACTTTTAAAAAATGCTAATTCTGATTCAATCAGACTCTTTGAGCTGGGTCTCAGGAATTAGCATTTTAATAGGCTCTCTAGTTTATTCTTACACACTCGAAATTTTGAGAACTTCCCCGTGAAAGGCTCTTTCTACTAAAAGGAACTTCATCCATTTACCCTCGAGTTTAAGATAGTAATAATAAACCATACAGGGAAAAAAAAACAAAAACCTCATTAAACTTTCTCAAGAGAAATAAACAATGCAACCTCAGCTTTACTGAAATCAATTTAGATTCTGATATCTAAGTTGTCAGCTACTTTCTACTTTTTGCATTTATGCAGACCAAAGGAGTTGTTAGAAAAGAGATGTCACCAGACAGGTTGTCCTCTCCTGCCAAGCGTCCCAAAAAAAGATGTGAGGCTTAATGGCCCCTTACCCCACCCCAGCAACGATGCTGTGTACTCACCTGGCTTTTTAAAGAGGTTGCTCTGGACTATCTCATTCATAGACTGTACTTTCTGCTTCTGGAGTTTCACAGGAGGGATGCAGGTGTAGAATTCATACAGGAGTTGGCTGTGGGCAGGAAAAATAGAAGCTAGTAGAGCAAAGTAGACCAATGTCTCCCACCTCATAGCACTTACAGTTCATCCCTGGATCTCTAGCCCTGAGATACCCCCAAGTCCTGGCAGAGCATCAAGTGCAAGGTAAGCCTTTAGTAAAAATGTACAAGTTGTTCTTGGTATGGAATATTAGCAGCATTAAAAGATATGTAAAAATCTGAAAATAGTGCTTGCTTCGGCAGCACATATATTAAAATTGGAACAATACAGAGAAGATTAGCATGGCCTGTGTGCACTGATGACATGCAAATTTGTGAAGCATTCCATATTTTTTTTAAAAAAAACTATTTTTTTAATTTTAAAAAAGAAAAAAGAAAAAAAAATTGAAAATAATACCAATAGCCCTGATTAGTTGCTGTGTATCAAGCACACACTTTGCATTTTGCATTAATTATGCCATGTAGACCTCATAACTCTAAAAGAAAAAAAACAACCCCATTCAAAAGTGGGTGAAGGATATGAACAGAAACTTTTCAAAAGAAGACATATATGAAGCCAACAAACATGAAAAAATGCTCATCATCACTGGTCATTAGAGAAATGCAAATCAAAACCACACTGAGATATCATCTCACACCAGTTAGAATGATGATCATTAAAAAATCTGGAGACAACAGATGCTGAAGAGGATGTGGAGAAATAGGAACACTCTTACACAGTTGGTGGGAGTGTAAATTAGTTCAACCATTGTGGAAGGCAGTGTGGCGATTCCTCAAGGATCTAGAAATAGAAATTCCATTTGACCCAGCAATCCCATTACAGGGTATATAGCCGAAGAACTATAAATCATTCTACTATAAAGACACATGCACACGTATGTTTATTGCAGCCCTGTGCGCAATAGCAAAGACCTGGAACCAATCCAAATGCCCATCAATGATAGACTGGACAAAGAAAATGTGGTACATATACACCATGGAATACTACGCAGCCATAAAAAATGATGAGTTTGTGTCCTTTGTAGGGACTTGGATGAATCTGGAAACCATCATTCTCAGCAAACTGACACAAGCACAGAAAGCCAAACACCACATGTTCTCACTCATAGGTGGGTGTTGAACAACGAGAACACATGGACTCAGGGAGAGGAACATCACACACTGGGGGGCAGTTGTGGGGGTAGGGGAGAGAGAGTAGGGGGCGGGGAGTGGGGAGGGAGGGGAGTGTGGGGAGGGATAACATGGGAAGAAATGTCAGGATATAGTATGCACCTAAAGTAAAATAAATAAATATTTTTTAAAAAGCTATACCCAATACTTATCCCAATTTTATAAGTTGGAAAGCTCAGATTTAGAAGGGCTAACTAACTTTCCCAAGGTTATGCCGCTAGGAAGTTAAAGAAACAAGAGTTCAAAACAAGGTTCTGACTTTATTACCATACCATTTTACTTACAAATGTTTTATGCTTGATAATCCTTTATGGTAAGTCTTAAAATCAAAAAGGTCTCTAATTTTTTTGAAAAACTATGAAAAATTGTGGATTAGAAGCAGTTTGGGACATCAAAAGGGAGACGGTTCTTTCCAAAAAGGGTGAGAATCAAAATACCCTGAAACAAAATGATAGTCCTTGTCGGCTTTCCAAAATAAGCTTATTGTATTCATTCATTCTTTCAAGGACTTATTAAACATCTACTTAATATGAGTCAGGCAAAGTACAGAGAAATGGGGATACAAGGGGAACAGACCAGGTCCCAGTGGGCATGGAACTTACACTCCAATAGAGTTCATCAAATGACACAGAAGCTAACAAATCAATAAACAGTGATGAATGCAGTGAAAGAAATAAATAGGGAACTGTGTCAGAGAATAATGGCACAAGGGCTGGGGGAAATTTTTAATTTATTTACAATATTGAGAGGTGGCTTCTCCAAAAAGATAACATTTAGCTTGAGGATCCGAAGGATGAGCAAAAGGAGTAGCTAGCAAAAGTCTCCCATATGAACAGAAAAAGGACATCCACAAATAAACTGGTGATATCTGAATAAAGTCCAGAGTGCAGTTAAGAGAACTGTACCCAGGTTAATTTCTCAGTTTTTATAAATGTACCATAGTTATATAAACATTAACATTAGGGGAAGCTGGGTGAGGGGCACATGAGAACTCTGTATGTAATCTTTGAAACTCTTTTCTAAATCTATAAGTATTTTAATAAAAAAGTCTTTAAAATCTGTTATCTGGAAACTATAATAAATTTTTTAAAAAGAAAAAGATATATTTGATTGAGAAGCCCCTATTCCAACAGCATAACATTAAAATAATGTGTTTATCTACGAGCCAAATGGAGTTAAGAGGGAGAAGGCAAAAGGGAGCCATCTCCATTATCTCTTTAGGTGTGCTTAGGCTGTTCTCTGTTTGCAACTGTGGGGCCTACAGGGCAAAGAGTGGAACCCAAAATAACCTTCAGGCCCAGGTGAAATGGAGACATTTACCCCAAACATCAATTTTTTAACCAATATGATTACATTTCATATCATTAAAGAGGGATGCTTATTACACAGTTGGTTTTCACCAGTCTGGCACAAGAAAACCAAAAGGTAAAAATCCCATACTGGAAGCCTTGAAAAGGTCCCCTGCCACATGTCCTCCCCACCCCTAGCTGAGTGCCCATCTGAAGCTCCCCCTAAGAGCCCACCTCCCACTCTGAATCCCTGGCTTGCCAATAGAGCCCAAGAAAGTACAACATAAGCTCTCACCTGAGTAACTTTGCATCAAAGACCGTTTCTACATCATGCAGGACAGATGGGATGTATTTCAAAGCCGCCACCTAAGTGGAATGTAAAATATATGAGTGATGCTCACATCAACAAGTCTGTGCTGGCAAAGACGGTAATTTGCAGCATGACACAGATCAGGGGAGAATGATTCCACATCCTGGACATTAGGATATTGATGCAAGCCTCTGTATGTGCATCAAAACGTAAGCATGAACTTCTTTGTATACAAAAGTGAAGTCACAACTTCTGTCTTCAAGGAGGCAGTAACATATAGTAGAATGACCACAGACCTTGTAGTTCTATAGATCTGCAAATTCTGTTTCCGAACCTTATTATCCATGCGGCTTTGGACCAAACATTTAACCTCTTAGATATATACATATCTGTGAAATAGAGAAAGTTATATGTATTCTGCAGAACTGTAAAGATTAAAAATATATGTGAGGCATCCAACAGAGCACGAGGCATATTTTAGTGCTCAGTAAATGGTGACTTATTAATGGAAGGTGGTGTCGTTGAATTGCTTTGCTGGTGGCAAGTTATTCATATTTCCTCTCCCTAGCCACTTTCTGAATAATAGTGGGCATGTTTTGGTCCACTAGATGGGTTGGGAAAGCTGAGCATTGTGGTAGATTGCTTCCTGTCTTCAAGTTAACTGATGTATCAGAGGTAAGAGCCACACTCACCCCCTAGCAACACCACTTGATAAAAAGCAGGGCAGACTACAGTTTCAGCAGATAGAATTTTAAGTCACATGAATGGAAAATAATGTTTAAGACTCTAATGGAAACATGCATTTTTTATTTTTTATTTTTCTACATACTCTAGGTGTTCTGTTATTAACATGTATCACCCTTTAACAATCAGACCAAAGTAAAAATCACAAAACTTACTTTCCTAAAGAAAATCTTCCTCCTAGCCATATAAAACTAAGATTCTTACTTAACATAAATAATGATTATGATTATTCTCTAAAAATTTCTATCAGGGCAGATGCTGTGCCAAAGACTGCTAATAGATTATCTTACTAGTTACAACACTGCAAGGGAAATATTATTTTCATAAATAAAGAATCTCTGGTGCATCACAATTAAATAACAAGCCTGAGGTTGCAAAGTTAGCAAGTGGAGAGCCTGGATTCAAATGCAGGCAGGCTGCTCTTAGAGTCACTTTTTGTAACCCTTAAGCTACATGGCCACCTTACTCAAATAGCAACTGTCTCTCTCTATGCCTTCATCCATTTTTTTTCTTGTTGCTTATAATTTTTAAATTTAAAAAGTCAGTACTGTATGTTTGATGTAAAAACATTTATATCAGATAAGGCATTAGGGTGAAAATTCTTCCCAGCGTCCCATATGGCATCCTCCTCTCAGCTCCAATCTTTCGTCCCCAGAGAAGGGAGGACCACCGTTCGTTAGCATTGTGAATTTCCTTCCAGACTGCTTTCTATGCACGAACGTGTATATGTGCATCTGTGTGTGTATGTAAATATACAGGTCTGCAATTGCTTTTCGTAGTTAACCACACAACAGTGGCATCCTGCCATCTCCTAGAGTACATTCTTTTCATTTCTAACCACTGCCCAGCACTGCTCAAATGGGTACATTATACCTTTATCAGCCCACTCCTGCTAACAGGTGCCATGCTATTTTCAGTTTTTCTTTATTATAAATATGTGGTAAAAACTACTTAAATATATGTTTGTGTATCTGTAAAACTCCTTGTAGGATGGATTGTTCAAAGAAGAATTAGTGTATAAAAATGTATAGACATATAAATTTTAGGAGAGACTGTCAATTACCTTAGAAGAGGCAGTAACCAACTTCCTTTAACAAGATTTTCCTTTCCCCATAACCTTGTTACCACTGGACATACAGTCTTTTAGATTTTTGTAGATCTGATGTGTAATTTGCAACTTTTGGGTTGCTAGTACGGTTGGGCATCTTTTCCCTATATTTATTGAACATCTATATTTACTAAATTGCATGTTCATATACTTTTTCCATTCTTATTTTGTTTTTTTTTTCTCATTGGTTTGTAGAATTCTTCATGCACCTTTAACATTAACCCTTTTACAGTAACACATCTTACAAGAATCTTCTGCTTATCATGATGTTCCACTGCATAGAAAGATTTTAATTTGCAGGCTGTCATATTTGTCAGACTTTATAGTTATTGGATTTTGTATCTACAGATTTTTTCTTTATTCTTTTAAATGTAGATTATAAGACAAAACAACATTCCAAAGCCATTATTTCTGAAACTATGTTCTATTGGAACCTCTTGTCCCATAGGATGGTGTTAGGTATTCTGTAAAAGAAAAGGGTTTGCAATCAAAGAATTTTGGGAAGCACTGGTTTAAGCAAAGACAAACCAGTGAGGTTTTTTTTTTAACTATAGAACTTTTCATAATTTAATATGCTAAGAAGCATTATGACATTCCTCCAGGCAGTCACAGTATCCAGTACATTCCAACCTAGTTGGTCAAGAACCATCTTTATCAGGAAACACCAAGCAGATGTAGCAAAATCAGATGACTGCAGAGCTAGGCAAGCAGCAGAAAGAAGTGATATGGAATGAGGACGGGGCAGTGAGAAGTGATGAGATGTGTGGGTTCTATTCTCTGCCTAAAGACTCAGTCATTCCTGTTCAATTGTTTTAACACTTTGATTTGCTAGACAAATCAAACACAAATGCAGGCTGCATTTCTTCCAGAGGCTACTAATTTACAACCTCTAATGTCTAAAGGGATACCCTATACTGAGGCATGTGCCCTGAAAAAAGCCTAGTCCAAACACTTCTCTTTTGAGATAGAGTTTTGCTCTTGTTGCCCAGGCTAGAATACAATGGGGTGATCTTAGCTCACTGCAACCTCCATCACCCAGGTTCAAGTGATTCTCCTGCCTCAGCCACCTGAGCAGCTATTACAGGCATGAGCCACCACATCTGGCTAATTTTGTATTTTTAGTAGAGATGGGGTTTCACCATGTTGGTCAGGCTGGTCTTGAACTCATGACGTCAAGTGATTCACTCATCTTGGCCTCCCAAAGTGCTGGGATTACAGGCATGACCCATCAAACCTGGTCTGGTCCAAGCACTTCTAACAAACTATTTCTTCATCCACTCTTAGGCCAAAAAACATAGAGGCCACAGGGCCTTGAGCTCTCCACCCAGCACCGCATGAACCTAGGCTCATTTCTTCATTCCTTGAGCCTCAGCCTCCTCATGATGGTATATGCCGAGGCTCTTCCCATCTCATTACTCAAGCACTGGCCACCATTCCCAGCACCCAGACAGAGTATAATGTGTACCCATCACAATTAAGGCCAAAGAGAGAAACACGCACAGAAACAAATCCCTTTGGGGAAAGGCAGGACTTCACAGTGTCCTCTGAGGGTTTGTGGCTTTCCAGAGCTGTATGTCATTCCAGGGCTTTGGAGGGATATGGTGGAACCACAGTCACCAGGAGTCTGCACAGCACACACACTTACACACTTTAACTTTTAGCAAGGAACTGCACAGGCTACCAGAGGGGATGCTCAGAAGGAGCCCATCTTCCCAGTCTCCCACTCTGGGCTGGCAATACAGTCAAAGGAAGCAAGTAGCTGTCACCTGAGACTCAGAGGGTGTTAGCAATGTGACAGGAGAGTATTAAATTTGCATCTGGTCCAGGCTGCCCCACAGAGAAGTGGCAGGCCTGTGGTTCTTTCTCCCTATAGGGACAGCCCGTCTCTGCCTCGGGAATTTTGCCAAGACTGTTGAAATGCTCAGCACTGGCCAGACGACTTTTGTCTATAGTCTTGCTTTGATGCACCGGGGTGGGTGACAACAGGCAACTTCAGCAGGTGCCAGCACCAAACGCTTCCAGAAGGCGGAGCACCTCAGCCATAAGACTATGGGAGACTCCATTTGTTACAAGTTTCCAGATCTGTCAGCCTCCTGGGAACTGGGTTTTACTGTTCTATTATTTATTTATTTTAATTTATTTTATTTATTTTTTTTGAGACGGAGTCTCGCTCTGTTGCCCAGGATGGAGTACAGTGGCGCTATGTCTGCTTACTGTAACCTCTGCCTCCTGGGTTCAAGCGATTCTCCTGCCTCAACCCCTGAGTAGCTGGGCTTACAGGCGTCTGCCACCACACCTGGCTAATTGTTTGTATTTTTAGTAGAGACAGGATTTCATCATGTTGACTAGTGTGGGTTCGAACACCTGACCCCAGGTGATCCACCTACCTCAGCCTCCCAAAGTGCTGGGATTACAGGCTGGAGTCACTGCACCCAGCTGTTCTATTATTTTCACTCTCATTATTATTACCATTCTATATAAAAAAATATTATATCATTACTTTCATTCCATAGTCTATATTCCTATATTGTATCTAATACTTAAAATACATACATACACATACACGATAACATACATGCGATGCATATACACACATACATATATCATAGGATTATGAATCATAGGGTTTTTTAAATGGGAACCATGGCTGGGCATGGTGGCTCATGCCTATAATCCCAGCACTTAGGGAAAACGAGCGGTTGATCACTTGAGCCCTCAGGTGTTCAAGACCAGCCTGAGCAACATGGCAAGACCTCATCTCTACAGAAAAGTAAAAAAATTAGCCAGGCACAGTGGCACAGGACTGTGGTCCCAGCTACTCAGGAGGCTGAGGCATGAGGATCACTTCAGCCCAGGAGCTAAAGGCTTCAGTGTGCTGTGTTTTGTCACTGCACTCCAGCTAAGGTGACAGACAGAGATGCTGCCTCAAAAATAAATAATAAAAAAATAGAAACCATTACTGGAAAATGTATACATGCCAAATACTTTACATGCATGATCTTATTTAATTCTTCCAACTACTCTGAGTGGATATTGTTAATCCCATTTTACCAATGAGAAAACTGTGGCACGGAGAGGTTAAATAACTTGCCAGAAGCCATGTAGCTTATGAGCAGCAAAGCAAGGATGAGTACCCAGCTCTGTCCAGCTGGCTCTTACCCAGTATGTCCACTACTGCCCATCACGCTGTAGGAAAGGCATTCT